TTTTACTATGTTGTACTACTGAAACTAAAATAATGTTATATGTCAATTGTATTTCAATTTAAAAAATCATATAAGAGGATCTGAATTGCAATAGTGAATTTAGTACTTTAAAATTAATTAAATTTAATATACATATTTGGGTTTGCTTTTTAAAAAAGATTTATTTATTTATTTTAGAGAACGAGTGCACAAGAGTGGAAAGGGGTAGAGAGAGAGATTTTGAGAGAGAGAGAGAATCCTCAAGAAGATTCCCTGCTGACCTGGGAGTCTGATGCAGGCCTTGATCCCAGGACCCTGAGATCATGACCTGAGCCGAAATCAAGAGTCACATGCTCAACTGACTGAGCCATTCAGCCACCCCTGGGTTTGCTTTTCTTAAGATCTTTTTTTTTTTTAAAGATTTTATTTATTTATTCATGAGAGACATACAGATAGAGGCAGAGACATACTCAGGGGGAGAAGCAGGCTCCTCACAGGGAGCTCAGCGCAGGACTTGTGGTCTGGGATCACACCCTGAGCTGAAGACAGATGCTCAACCGGTGAGCCACCGAGGTGTCCCTGTAGTCTTTGTTTTAAAGTCTACTTTGTCTTATATGAGTATTTCTACCTTACCTTTTTTTTCTTTTTCATTTGCATGGAATATCTGTTTTAATTCTTTTACTTTCAGTCTGTATGTGTCTTTAAGTCTGAAATGGGTCTCTTAGAGGCACCATATAGATGGGTCTTTTCTTAATCCATTTAGTCACCTATGTCTTTTGATTGGAGCATTTAGTCCATTTATATTTATAGTAATTATTCATAGATTTATGCTTATTGTCATTTTGTCAATCATTTTCTAGTTGTTTTGTAGTTATTCTCTGTTCCTTTTTTTCTTTCCTTGTTCGTTTCACTGGTGGCCTGATGGCTTTCTTTGGTGTTATGCTTGGATTCCTTTCTTTTTCTATTGTGTGTCTATTACTGGTTTTGTGTTTATCATTACCCTTGGGTTCATATATAACATAAAGATACTTAATCGCATATGAAAAGTCTGTAGTCATAGTCATAGTACATAATCATGTATTCACAGGTTCTAGGGATTTGAACATGGACATCTTTGGGGAGCCATTATCTAGTCTACCACATTCTCCTTGGTTTATTGACCTTATAATATCTTCAAGAATATTAGACTTCTGCTAAAAAGGCAAATGAAATTAAAAATTTATCATCAATACTTATTTTTTATATATATTAGCTTGAAAAGAAACATTTGCTTGAACTGTGCTGCTAAAATATTTTGGAAGTCTCTGTTGATAGTTAGTGACCTTAGTTTCTAGAACATCTAGGTCAATAGTACATAAGTGACAATAGAAATATTACTTTGCTTAGAACATTTTGTACTCATATAGCCTTCTGCTGTTTGTTCAAAATGTCCCTGGCTTATTTAGTTATTATAATCATTCCCTGGAATCTATAGTAATTTTGTGCTAAATATAAAAAAAGTGATAGATTTTATAGATGGAAGTTCACTTATTTATAAATAATCAGTTTTGTCCTTTGTTTGAGCTTTAAAATGCTACTGCATTTTATATGCTTCCTAAAGATAAAACTCTCTTACATTTTGGTCTGCTAAGTGGCAAGTTATAAGCCTGACATTTTATTGTGATCTCACACTTGAATTCTGAAAATGTTTGCATTATTCCATATTATATTAGAGCTTAAAATACAAAATTCTATATAGAACTATTTAAAAATTAATTTACTCATATCCTTTTACTCAGATATTTGAAAATAATTGACGTTCTAGAAAGATGTTACACTTAAACTATATTTTTATTTTTTACCACCTGGCATAGCACTGAATCAACTCCCCCCTACTTTTTTTAAACCTGAGGTTGAAAAGCACGAGTAGAAAATTATGGGATCTTAATTCATAAAACCTGGGTGCTGCTAATTACCAACTGTGTAATCTTGGGAAAGTTATTTGCTATGGTTTGAATGCTTGTGTCCCCTCTCACTTTAAATGTTGAAATCCTAATGACTGAAATGGGTCTTTGGGTGATTAAGTGAAGGTTCTGCTATCTTGATGAGTTAGTGCCCTTGTAAAAGAGGCCTCAGAGATGTAGTCCCAATAGTTTAATTTTGCTTTTCTTTCCCTTGCCTGAGGAGACATCTCTACAAAAATGTTTCTACAGCCAATATTAAAAAAAATTTATTGCCTGTCTTCTAGGAGTTTTATGGTTTCAGGTTTCACAGTTAGGTCTTCTTTCTTGAAATCTGGGATAGTGATGCCTCCAGCTTTATTCTTGTTTCTTTTTCTTTTTTAAAAATATTTTATTTATTTATTCATGAGGGACACAGAGAAAGAAATAGGTAGAGACATAGGCAGAGGGAGAACCAGGCTTCCCGCAAGAAGCCTGATATGGGAATCAATCCTGGATCCCAGGATCACACCCTGAGCTGAAGGCAGACACTCAACCGCTGAGCCACCCAGGCATCCCTTTATTCTTGTTTCTTGAGATTACTTTGGCTATTCAGGTCTTTTGTGGTTTCATACAAATTTTAGTATTATTTGTTCTAGTTCTATATCAAAATATAAAGCATTTGCACAGGGAAGGCAACATACTGAATGGGAGAAGATATTTGCAAATGATATATCCAATAAGGGGTTAATATCCAAGCAAAAATATAAAGAACTTATACAACTCAACACCAGGAAAGCAAATAACCTAATTTAAAAAGAGGCAAAGGACCTAAATAGACATATTTCCAAAGAAGATATACAGATGGTCGACAGACAAATGGAAAGATGCTCAGTGTGTCTAATCATTAGGAAAATGCAAATCAAAACCACAATGAGATATTACTTCATAGCTGTCAGAATGTCTAAAATCAAGACAAGAAACAACAAGTATTTGTGAGGATGTGGAGAAAAGGAATTCTTGTAAACTGTTGGTAGGAATGCAAATTGGTACAGCCACTGTGGAATATAATATAAAGGTTTCTCAAAAAATTAAAAATAGAAGTGTCATATGATGTAGTAATTCCACTACTGGGCATTTACCCAGCGAAAATGAACAAAAACACCAATTCAAAAATATATATGCACCCCTATGTTTATTGCAACTTTATTTAAAATAGCCGAGATATGGAAACAACCCAATTGTCTATTGATAGAAATGGATAAAGAGAAGTGATACACACACAAACACATACACACATACTGACATATTATCAGTTATAAAAAATAATGAGATCTTGCCTTTGCAACAATATAATTAGATCTTATGGTTATAATGTTAAGTGAAATAGAGAAAGACATGTACCATATGATTTCACTCATATGTGGAATTTAAGAAACAAAACAAATGAATAAAAAAAGAGACAAACAAAGCAGAATATTAAAAACAGAGAACTGGTGGATGCCAGTTTGAGGGGGTGAGCAGGTGGGTGAAATAAAGGAGATTAAAAGTACATTTACCATGATGAACACTGAGTAATGTGTTGAATTGTTCAATCATTATGTTGTGCACCTGAAACTAATACAATGCTATATGTTAATTATACTTCAATAAAAGAAAAAAATGAGGCCTCAGAGAGTTTATCTCCCCTTCCCTCATGTGAACATACAAGATGTGTCTGAGCAGAAAGAGGGCTTTCAACTCGATCATACTGGTTCTCTGATGTTAGACTTCTAGCCTCCAGAACTTTGAGAAATACATTTCTGTTGTTTATAAGTTACCCAGTGGTATTTCTTCTATCAGAAAATGCTATTTTCTTTCAGCAGCTTGCACAAACAGAACTCCATTTATCCTCATCTGTAAAATGGGAATTGAGGTAACACTTAACAAAATTAAACAATGAATGTGGAAAAGATGCATTGTAAACTGCAGTGGCTCTAGTTTTTATTTATTCATCGTTCTTGAAATTGGAGTTTGATTACTAGGGGCTTTTCTAGGCTTAATAGATAGGAAATTCAACCCAATCTGGGCTAAGATAAAAGGGAAGCTTATTAGTTCACATGACTCAAAGTTCCAGAGGAATATCTGATAAAGAAGCAGTTTGATGAAGGGGCTGAAATGTTGTCATCAGAACCTACCATCTATCTCATCAGCCTGCTTTCCTGCATAGTTTGTTGCATTCTACTTTCATGTGGTATCAGTATGACTGCCAACAGTTTTAAACGTGTGGTCTCCTATGCTCAAGTTCAGAAAAAAAGAACATATGTCTTTCAAATAGTTTTTTTGTGAGAACTCTAGAATTTCCTCTAAATTGGACCAGGTTCAGAGATGTTCCCATCCCTGACTTGACCTGGTTTGGTCATAAGACTTAAGACACTGAACCAGCATGAATCACACCACCCATCCTCAGAGCCTAAAAGGGGTCTCTGAACCACAAGTATTAGGAGTGGCAAAAGATTTGGGGTGTTATAACCAAAAGAAGGGAGATAGGTTCTAGATGATAAACTATCCATTCCATGTGTACTTAATGTTTCACAAAAAATGTCATTTTATCCTTAGTTTCACCTACTCTGGAGAGAGAATTTTCATGGAAGAAACTATGCTTTTTGTTTTAATATATTCTTTCTCCCTTTGTTTATCCGTAGCTCATAATTATAACATGCTGTATCTCTTTCCTTTCTTTCTGGCAACCAACTTGCTCCCATCTGTTTTTTATTGAATGATGTATGGGAAAGCCACATTTTCCTAGCTGGGAAAGTTTGATGAACCATTCTCTGTCTCTGTGCATTCTGTTTAATGCATTCCTATTTTTAGATTTTTGGGAAGATTTATACAAATGATTGGTAGCCAGTATTTGCTCCTAAAACTTTTTTTTAGACAATTTAAGGTTTCATTTATTCTTGAGCACTTTTCCAGGCTACTTAGGACAGTGTTCTTAAAATATATGAAACTATAGTGGGCATAGATATACTGTTTAATATTTTATGGACATAATACGAATTTTTTCTCTAGCTAATTTCACTTTTACTTTTAAGATTTTATTTATTTATTTATTCATGACAGACTCACAGAGAGAAAGAAAAGCAGAGACACAGGCAGAGGGAGAAGCAGGCTCCATGCAGGAAGCCCGAAGTAGGACTCAATCCGGGGATCTCCAGGATCACACCCTGGGCTGAAGGCGGCGCTAAACCACTGGGCCACCGAGACTGCCCTAATTTCACTTATTTACTCATGTTTATACAAATACTAAATGCAGACAACTAAAACAAATAACATTTTTTTTCCTTTTCTGATAAGGATAAGTGATCATAGACAGTTTCAAATGAAACTATCTGAAGAATTCATTTTTGGATAGAAACATTGAAATTTTCAGTCTCCATCACTGTTCATTGTTACTCTCGTTAAATTTCATTGGAAGATAGCAACTTAATTAGATGATCATTAGTAGTACTTTTTCTTCTAGTATATTCTCAAAGTTTTACAAGGGCAAGTTTTTGGTGTTTTGAATCTCATTTAGTAATTAATGCTTTTTGTTACATAAATTATTTGTGAACAAATGCATAAATAGCTCAATTGATCAAAGTAATCTCCATTCGTATAAAATATATTTTTTTTACTTCACTGAGTTGCATTCATTCAGTTGTGTCTTCAAGAATAAGTTAATAAAGAACATCTTTTGTTCACTTTGCTTTTGCCAGCTGTGCTCAGCACATACAAATGAATAGGCGACATTTGTCTGGTTATTTATTATGTGTATAGGAGATAATACATGATATGAAAACTATTCATTACCCCCCCCCCAATCACCCGGTGGGATATTCTTGCAAAAGCGTAGGGGAAAAATTTGAAAACTTTTCTTGAATCCTTATCTAAACACATAAGTTATAAGAATCAGGTGCTGTGAGCTGCTTCCATACTTTGAATTGAATATACTTTGTTTATAATTTTGAGTTTACCTATTCCTATCATATGGCCTGTGGGAATTCTTAATTTTTCTGTTCTAATTTTCCAGATCTTTATTTTTATTTATTTATTTATTTATTTATTTATTTATTTATTTATTTAGTTATTTAGTTAGTTAAATATTTTATTTATTTATTTATGAGAGACACACACAGAGAGAGAGGCAGAGACACAGGCAGAGGGAGAAGCAGGGTCCATGCCGGGAGCCCGATGTGGGACTCGATCCCGGGTCTCCAGGATCACGCCCTGGGCTGAAGGCAGTACTAACCGCTGAGCCACCCGGGCTGCCCTAATTTTCCAAATCTCTAAAATAGGTATTATAATATAGCTTTCTAGGACTATGGTTATGATTAAAGGAGTTATACCTATATGGTATTGAGACTAGTACCTGTACAGTGTTAAGAGATACTATGTATTCTGTAAATGTTGACCATTATTGCGGAATGGAGTACAGCATGGCAGGTAAGAGCAAGGCTTTAGAGTCACACTTGCTTGATTTTTTTTTCTAAGCTCTGCCTTGGGCAAGATATTCAAACTTACTGGTGCACAATTCTCTTATTTATAAAATTGGTATAATGGTACCAAAGTCAAAGGGTTGTTGTGACTTTATTTTTTTTAAGATTTATTTATTTATTCATGATAGACACGGAGAGAGAGAGAGAGAGAGAGAGAGAGAGAGAGAGAGGGGCAGAGACACAGGCAGAGGGAGAAATAGGCTCCATGCCAGGAGCCCAACACGGGACTCGATCCCGGGACTCCAGGTTCGGGCTTTGGGCCAAAGGCAGGCGCTAAACCACTGAGCCACCCAGGGATCCCCTTGTTGTGACTTTAAGAAAGATAATTTACACAAAGCACTTAGAATAATAATTCCTGGGGTAAATAAGCATTCAACAAATATAAACTATTATTATTTGCAGCATTTGTGTTGGGTTATAAATGCCGCCAGAACACATCCAAGATATTTCTTAATTTGCATAGATTTTAAGAAACAATATAGGTAAATGCATCCAAATATTAAGTTTTAAATTTGGATTAGTTGTGCTTGATTTTTTTTCCACTTCATCACCCAGTATTCTGGTAAGTAGTTGAATTCTTCTAACAAATATAAATAAGCACATATGTACTGAATATGAAGCGGTTAAACAGCAAAGCACTGTTACATAGACTAGGCTCAGCTCCAGGAGAAATGGATCCTGAACCATACAAATATGTGTATCAAAAGTCAGGAAATAAAAGGAATGAACTTTATGGGATAAAGGAATGGAAGAGAGTCTCAGAGAAATCTCAGTATAGACAAGAACATATTCACCTTAATACTTTCCTCTTCAGTGGCATAGCACAGAAGATGTTCATAAACATTCAAACAGTTTGTGATGGATGGACTTAACTACTGTAGTTTCTGGGTTGTGCATATTAGGGCAAATACAGCAATAAAGGGAAAAAAGAAATACTAGGATAAAAGTGATAGAAATACAGTTTATGAACTACATGTAGATGAGACACTAAACCCATAGCTTGTTAATTGAACTTCCAGCAATTGCAGACAATACTTTTTTTTTTTCAATTGATATATCAGCATTGGTATCAGGAAAATGACCAGTGGGAGGTAGCCTAGAACAAACAAACCTCCCCCAAACCAAAAAAAGTTCATGCAGGCTGAATACTGCTGGAATAACATCAGAAAAGCAAGATGATGACCAGGGCAATGATATGACCCAAATTATTCATAACCAGGGGTTTTATAATCTTAGTGGGTACTTACTAAATACCAGGCACTGTGCTCAGTGCTTTAGACATATGATTTAATTTAATCTTCATTTCAATCTTTTAAACACTATTATTGTCAATTCCATTTATAATGGTATAAGTTTTTCAGTGTTGTTTCAAGGTTAAGGATGATTGAATTGGGGTGATAGTTCAGACTTTTTGAGTCCAGAATCCATGTTTTAATAATTGTTCCGTACTTTATAAGATCCATTATAGAAGAGGAATTCAGAGTTTTCCAAAACAAAAAACAAACAAAAACCCTACACTATAATTATAGCCATATTCACATTAATTGCTAGAGATACTTAATGATGCAGGTTCCCAGATGAACAAGAAGGACTAGCAGAACAATGAGCTTGAGGTTGTGGTTGTGGTCCCATTTAAGATAAACAATGAACTAGTGGATTAGCTGGGAATTTAATAGAGGCTTCTAGGAAGTGCAACAGTCATAGGGTTTGATAAGTTCTCCACATATATCAGGTTAACCATGGGCTGTGTTCATGCAAGCAGAGACAGAAATGGGCCCAAGCCATACATATATTCCTGGGTAATAGAATGTCACATGCATAGGGAAGATTAAAAAGATCTTGGTAGAAAATAAGAGCTGGAGGAAGCTTGAAACTGTCCTGGACTTTGAATGTACAAGGCCACACACTGATCCATCAGAAGAGCAGAGAGCCTTATTGGCTTGAGATCTTTGAGCACAACCTATGAAAAATTGTTGCATGAACAGTGAGCTATGTGTATACTCAGTGATTCCTGGGAAGCTAGGCTTAAAAATAAAAACAAGAAAAAAAATAGTAGAGAAAATGAGACATCACAGATTTAATTCAGACTAGTTATCAATCAATAACAACTCCCAGTAAAATAATAATGTAGAGTTGGTATATTATGTAAAATTTCCAGTACTCAGTAAAAAATTAGAAGACATGCAGGAGAAACATAAATTATGTTCCATACCCAGAAAAAATCAAGTGAAAGTTTCTCTGAATTTCTCAGATCTCACATTTTGCTTACAAAGACTTTAAGCAATTCTGAAAATACTATTCAATGACCTAAACAAAATCATTTTTATAGAATGAAAAGAAAGTGTGATAAGAATGATTTAGCAGAATATGTGGAGATAGAAATTATAAATGGAAATCCTGTAGTTGAAAGGTATAGTAAGTGGATTGATATTTTACTAATAGGATTCAACAGCAGATTTGACATGGCAGAAAAGAGAATCAATGGCCTTGAACATAGATCACTAGAAGCTATCCATTCTGAAAACAGAAAAATAATTGAAGAAAATGAAAAGAACCTTAGAGAACTGTGGGAAAACATAAAACATATCATATAATGAGAATCCCAGAAATGGGATAAAGAGGCAGAAATAACATTTGAAGAAATAATGGCTGAAGATCTCCATTTTTGATGAAAATTATTTATTAAAGAGTCAAGAAGTGCAACAGAACCCAATAAAAATAAAGTTATAAAAAAAATAAAGTTATAAACCTAGACACATCATAGTCAATCTCTTGAGAAACAGAGAATATTTTGAACGAAGCAAGAGAAAAGTGTTTCACCAAGTTCAGGGTAACAACTAAAAAACCAATGGCTAACTTCACATTAAAAGTAATGGAAGTCAGAAGTTAGTGGCATGCCATATTCAAAGTGTTGAAAATAAAAAAGCTGTCAAGATCATTTTGTACATAGCAATGTCATTCTTCAAAATGAAGACACAATAATGAAAACCAAAATAAAGATGGAGACAATTAGTTGCCAACATATATATCTTACAAGAAGTACTAAAGTCTTTTAGTCTAGAAAGAAGTGACACCAAACAGTAACTCAAATCAGCTGAAAAATGAGGAATGAAAGAAATGGCAAATGTGTGGATAAATACAAGATTCTATTAATATATTTATTTCTTTTTAAAACTCCTTCAAAAGAGAATTCTATAAAGCAATAATTATAACACTGTAATGCTGAGTTGTAACATGTTGAGGTGATAGATATCATAATACTAATATTAAGGAATAGAGAGTAAAGGAGATATAGTGGAACAAAATTTATACCTTATGCCAGTTAAATGCATAGAGTTAAAGTTAAAATGCATAGAGCAACAACTATGAAAATAATTTAAAAATATAGTAAAAACAAAGGAATTAAAATAGTACAGACTCAACACAAAATTAGACTCTAAACAACAAAATGTGTTGAATCAAAAAAGACATTAGACATAAAACAAACAGAAAAATGCAAATATAGATCCTAACATAACAATATTATTTTAATGTGAATGGACAAACACACCACTTAAAAGATGATTGTCAGACTTGATAAAAATGCAAGACACAACTATAAGTTGTCAATAAGAGACACATCTTAAATTTAAAAACATGAATAGGTTGGGAGTAAAAGAATGGAAAAAGTCATACCATGCAAACAAGTAACCATAAGAGAGCTAGTCATTACATTAATATCATACTAAATAGACTTTATGATGAGAAATATTACTAAAGAAAAAGAAGGATATTTTATAATGATGAAAGGGACAATGCAGTGAGGAAGATGTATTTGCATCTAACAATAGAACCCTAAATACATGAAGCAAAATATGACAAAATAGAAAAGAAAGACACTTAACTACCATAATTGGATATGTAAATACTCAATGAAATAGAATAATCAAGAACAATAG